GGGATGCCGCCGCTGCGAAACTTGCCGCGAAGATACAGGAGATCCCAGGGGGAGAGTGTGGCCAGAAAAGCATCGACATTGGAGCGGCCGACGGCTGGCGAAGGTCCTTTACCGGCCGAGTCCATCCGGGCGCGTAAAAGTCGAGATTAAGGTCTAGTTTTCCGCTCAGACCCAAATAGCAAATCTGCGACAGCGTCTGCGACTCTATGGTGACGTGTATGGAATGTGTGAGGATGAAGATGGGGTGGCGCTGAGGATGTCAAAATGGCACCTGGGGCGTGGCCACGCCACAACTTATTCATTTTGTGTGCGTGTGTGTTTACCCCTCTATTTTGTGTGACTGACCAAACAAAAATATATCAGCATAAAACAACATTAATTTTTCTATCAAACAAATCTTGCGCAATGGGTTGCGGAAGTTCGAAGTAGCAAAATGACCAGAACAACGCATACGCCGCATCCAAGCCTAAACACCGCTCGAACCCCACCAGATTTATCAATCTGCACCACAGGATAATATTTATTTGATAGCCTATTTAATTAATAGATATATCTAAGCAGAGTTCATCAAAATATCTGTATCAAAACTAGCTGACTCATAAAGGCGCGACCATACAGATAGGATAGCTTCTACGGAGTTACGGGGTACTGAATTACCCTGTAATAACTTATCGGGTCTGGTGTCTAAGCCACAGGATAAACTCTCCCCATTTGGGACTTCTCATTCCCGCTTCAGCACGCAGCCTGCATTCATATGATGGCATCTTGCACATGTTCGGCCAGTCCCTGATAGGCGGCTAATGGCTGGCCGAATGGCTTCCACTCGCAAAACGAGCTTCCTCTGCATTGAAATACGATATGCTCTCCGCTAATCGTGAGCCACGGGCAGATTCTCTGGCGCCTATGAAGGCCGCTGACCGCAGACGTGGCCGCCCTCTTGACAATTTATTCTTCCCACCCTATCTTCGTCGCTTATGGCGAGTGGACAAAATGGAAAAAGGGGAATTGCAGACCATCTCTAGCAAGGCCATGTTATTCCAAAGAAGCCGAGGACAGGTTGTCGTGGTGTCTCCAACTTCTCGCCTTGCTTTTGGGATGATTTGACAAAGATCCACCTCTCTCGTGCCTTGCGAGAACTCGATCGACGGAACAATCGACCAGGGCATCATCCTCCAAAAGGTATGGAATTCGTTGGCGTATCATCTGGAGATATTGCTGCATTTGCAAGACACGGCGGGCCAGATCTTGGCCATCTTGGAACGGTAAGATTGACAATAACCGTTGAGATTCTGGTGTCATATAGACTCATCCTGCCATAGCAGCCAGAACCCTCTGTTGTTCCCTACCCTATAACATGACTTCTATCCTCCGTCTCGTCGCAAAGTCAGTGACCACAGTCGTGCGACAAGCCTTTCTTCAGCAACTAGGCGGTCATCCGCATACGACGACAACCTTGAACAACATCTTATCGATGACAATATTTACCAAGACGAATATGAACTTCAAGACGGCCCGTCAACCCCAGAGCCTTCTGATATGGATAGTATTAGACAACATCTGTCAGCCGCTAGAGCCTCTTTATCACCATCGCGCGTTTCAGACGCTACATTTGGTGACTTTAAACGGAAGAATAAGACTGATTCTAAAGGCTCGGTAATACGCAATATGATTCCACTCATTGCTGGCAGCGCTGATATGCTAAATGAAGGCCATCTCACGATTCTCATTTGGGCCATCTACAATGTCAACCATTGCTGTTGCCGAGAAGATTTGGAAAATTCATCTAATATGGATGATTTGATACAAGACCACGATGTATGACCCCGGACTACCTAGCCTCTCCCCGTACCCTCCGAAGTGAAGCCAACCAACTCTGCTCACGACAATATCAGCAGTCACAGCGCGCCCGCACAGCTTCGATGTCTGACTGCGAAATCCATACGCTACCATTTACTCTTGTCACGGAGTCTTAGATCCCCATGACCCCCGCAAATGTTCGGCCCAACATTGGCAAAGCTGGAATTGAACTGAACCACTAGTTTCGTACTCGAGTCATCCCGAATGCCGGGTGTGGATTTACTGGCGAGCTGTGGAATCTTTATTTCCTTACTGCTTCACAGAATGAACCCCCCATTTGGCACAGGTGCAATTTCGTTGCGGCAGTCTTACGTTGGAACACGACCTATCGTAGGAGCAATGCCCGTGTTACACAAATCAAGAATATAAGGCCTGTTGACATTGGACTCTGCTTGTAGCAACCCTGTCTATTCACGCACCATTAACTCTCCAACTACAGCTGAGAGTCTGCGGGAGCACTCAACTCTTTCCAGGTAAGTAAATTAAATAATTAAGCGGTTCATAATAGCTGAAAGCACCAGAGGTTTCCATTTTACATACATCAAGGGCCAATACCAGCCACTCGGTGAGGCTTGCTCCAAGATGAGGCTTAAGCGGAGCAAGTAAAATTTAATTACTAATTAGATTTGATTGATTAAAAAAATAATCAAAACTAAATTACAGGTCAAAACTTATCAAAGATTCCGAATGCGAACTACTCTCTGGCCGGCTGTTAGGACTCCAGCTGCGTAATAGCGGGCACGAGAGGATAGTTTGGGATGAGTCGCGCAGATCCTCCAGCATCGCGAGACTTTGGCAGCCAAATGGTCAAAAAAAGACCGGAGCGGTCAAACAAGGACTTGGAAACAAAATCCTTTGGCAACAACTGCTCCAAACCCGGCTTGGCCGCCACGGCGGCGACACTTTTCCTTGCCGAAGACTCGTCATTTCCCCTTTCTTTCCTAAAAGCCAGCTGAATGCCGAACATTTTATCTTCAGCATTATAAAACAGCCAAAAGGCCGCAGCATTCTGTGCCTCAGCCGCGTCCTTCAACTTCTGACAATGCTCGCGCAAAGTTGTTTCCGCATCCGCAGCGTCGTAGGACCAGTATTGTAGGCGACCAACGGCGTGCTCCTCGATCGGAACAAAGCTATGCGCGCCGATTACTTTCCAAACCCGACAGCTCGGCTCCTCAAATAGCGGCCGCTCGAGAAATTTGGTCTTGGGCTCATCGCCGACCTCGTAGTCCTCACGCAGCCAGCGGGCGTATTCCTTGGCGTTCTCCCAGGTATCGAATAGATAAGAGCCGCCGGTGAATTGCTTGGCGGTGATTTCATCGTAGCGGAATGGCAAGTACTTCATGTACATTCCCGGGCGCTTGTCCATGGCCAGACTGTCTTTGTACTGGGAATCAATGCATGCCTGGAGAGGAATACCAGGAACGCCGACGGTGAACTCGATGGTCACTGCGCCTTGAGCTGGAATCTCTCCAGTCTCGTAGCCGATGACTTTTCCATCTGAAACGTCTGGGTGAGATGTTAGAAGGCTGCATTTGGGTATGCCAGCATGGACGAAGACGGACTCATCTTGTTGCGAGAATGAAGCTGGAATCAAGGCAGGTGTAAATTCCCCCAAAACTGACAAGTCTGAATGGCTGATGGCCGCCCTGGGAATGTCCGACTTATATTCCACGAAATACATGCATGGCAAATCCATCATGTGATGATGGTCGTCGAGTGGCGGTTCCGGCTCCAAGCCCCGGAGCAGCTGAAGTGTCCCTCGCATCAGCCTCGATAGAAGCCTTGTGGCCACCACCAATTAGACCGGGCCTAGATTCCAGTTGGTCGCGCTTTGTAACTCTTGTTGAATAAACCCGTGTATGCTGGTGCTGGCGTTGAGGAATGCTTAATGAACATGCGGCGGTCACTGAGCTTCCCTTCTGGCAGCTCTCATGACATCGACTAGGCGCGTCGAATCCGCGACATGGCAAGACTGATACGATTGCAATCCTAGGTTCTAAATCCGACCGCCTCTGTCATGGGATTCCCCGTCTTTCGATAATGCAGCCCGTTGCTTGGCATCGCGGCTTACGTCTTCCGCCCAACGCTCGAGTAAGTAAATGTTCTTGGTGACGAGTGCTCATTATTGAGGTGGCATCTATTACGCATGTTTCTGAATGAAACCAACGTCGTACTCTTCTACTAATAAAAAAAGACTCCCAGGGTATAAATGAGGCAAGGTATTACACGGCAGTCCTTTATTTACAACGGGATAGTGTATTCTAAGCTTCCTTCTTTTTTTTATAGCGTCGCCACACTTTCGTGATTTTACCAGCCGGGCCTGTTATTGTCGTCTATACAAAAAATTTACACTTGGTAGGGTTAATACATGCGGTCGCTCAGTTGCCCGGCTGTCTTGGAACCTAGAGCTGGTTGCTGGCAAACGCCCAACGGCTACCCGCGCTCGATTAGCACCTCGCCCTAGCCTACAGAGATCTTTCCTTGCGCGCAAGTCTAACAAGTAAATTATATAAGCGTAGATCTCTTAAGGCGTTGTCTTGGTGAAAACTAGCTTCAATAACTCTTCCACGAGAACCGTCTACTATCCTAAGCCGCTCCCGCACTATTCTGCTCGGCCTGGGCCGTTCAGCCTGTAGAATTTGATCCCCTGGAAAACGACGCGTGTCTCGTACAGTCAATTGATGCGGCAACGTACGACTCCCTACAGTGCATGGTGGTACGCTGACCCATCGAGTCATGATGCTTGGATTTCGCATCCCCAACGTCAATTGATGCGGGGCATGGACTGCTCCTGTAAGAAGAAGAACTCGACGTCGCTCTAGGCTCTCCGCGGACAGGTGACGGTATTGTTCCGGGGTACGACGCGTCCCTGTACATGATGAGTGTATCAAACTCTATGTGATGAGGTCAAGTGCATGTTGACTGCCTCCATTTGCCGCAATCTGTCTGATTGCTCCGTGGTAACTAGTATAGCAACGCGTCGGGTCTCGAGATGGGAGGCCATGGTGGAGGTCGTGGCTCGCCGGTGGACTCTAGTTTTCACTCTTGACCGCTCCCACATTGGACGAGAATTTCAGCCGCGCAAGGCGGCCAGTGGCGTGGTGATGGCGAATGCGCCGCTGTGGCGTCTTGATTTGTCAACATCAGCCTTTGGACGATGAATCCATCGACTTGCGTTCTGAGCTTGGCAGGCATGTGGCGTCGAGAGCCTTCAAATCGGTGGAGTCGATGCTCTCCGCCTCGCTCGATGTCAAGGTCAGGTTCGTGATGGGGTTTGGAGTCGGCGGGCCACGGCCAAGCCAGCTCGGGCCTTTTCCACCGCCACCGCCCACCGTCCGAACGCCAGTTGGTACTTTTTCCATCTTCTGGGAGCCCAGCGACAGTATCGAGCCAAAGACTGGCGCGAGCCAATGCACCAAGCGCGGAAACACGATGGGGAGGTTGGTCGTGACAACCGCGACGAAGACTTCTCGAGCAGCCCACAGACATGCAAGCCGCGCGCCGCGGCTGGGGGGATGCTACAACACAACACACTGGTCAATGGACTCCAAGAGCTTGACGGTCTGGGGGAAAGAGGAAGGGGGGACCTACGTTGAAAACCAGGCTGGAACGAAGAATGGCGCAGAGGGCAACGAGCAAGCCTCCGCTGAATAGCACCATGAGCCCTACTTTCTTGAGGGTTCTCATGGACGATTGCCAAAGCAAGGGGACCGGTATGGAGATGAGATAGAAGTCGGTAAGTACATTGAGCGACAGGTTGACCCAGACGATGTGGCGGGACACGGTAGGCTGACAGATATCTAGTAGTACAATAGTCAACACGCTGCGGCTAAACCATTGCAAACACGACCAACTTACTGCCGGGATCTGGTTCAATCTGCCAATACTTGTTGAAGGGTCGGCAGGCGAGGAAGAGGTTTGCCAGCACGGCGACCCAGCTGGCAACAAGCAGGCCAAAGCCAATATAAACGCGCACGACGTAGTGCCGCCCAAGATCTCTCTGCTGCATGTGTCAGCTCACAGATGGCAAAACAAGACGCTCGTATAGAACTATGCCTCTACGCACCGTCAACCGAAGGTACAAGACCAACAGCGACGCTTTCAGCGTCCAGAGACACGCCAAATAGCTCAGCCAGCCGCCAATCTGCAACTTGGAGCCAATCACCCTATTTTCAGAGTCAGAAACTGCTCGTTCGTCTTGGCTACTCTTTGCAAAGAACGCACCGTTGTTGAAACTCGAGACTGTCGGGTAGAATTGCCGCTCGCTCGTCGTCCGTCAGGCCGGCGTTTGTATGCCCCCCCGCGATGCCGCCGAGACACGATGAAAGCGTCGTCATGACGGCGTAGAAGACCTGGAATGCGTTAACCCATGTGCCGTGTGCCCCGAATTGCGGAATGGCCAAACCGTACCACTGCCACCACGACCAAGTAGTCGTCTCCTCGGAGGCCTTTCCAACCCACGGCCGTAGCCCGGGCGCACAGCCGGATTATCGTCACCACGATACCAATCGCACAGAGTGTGTATTCCTCAATGCCTACGGCCTTGTTCGCCGCCTGCTGCGCCGGGCTCGGCTGGGAAGGAGTGATGGGCGACATGTTTTCCGGACGTCCGGTCGAGCATCCAATCATGGGTGATGAGAGCACGAGCTGAACAATACAGAGCGCATAGATCGAGCCCAGACGATATAGCCAGCTATCGGTCGGTTTCTAGGTCGCCCAGGATCTCCAAGGAGCATCGATGTTGGTTTTGCGGCCTCCTGGGGCGGCGACGGGTTATTGAACGGAGCACCTGACTGAGCGCGATGGCCTCTTCCTCGGCTTGAGGCAATGATCGACACCGTGCTGCAGATTTGACACGTTTTCTTCATGCGGGAACGACTAATTCAGACGCTAGCCGTTTGAGAGATATTTCTCAGGCCACCATCTCCACCGTGGCATGGATTGCGCCGCCTGGACATTGGACATGCTCGACACTAAACACAGCCAAGAAACTACCTGTGGCCGCCATGTTGTAACCACGACGCCGCTTGCTGGCCGGGAGTCACATAGTCCGTGGCAGAATACATTTGTCCACCAAGGAGTACTGGTGTACTGGTGGTATCTTCTTGTATAGAGCGCGATAGCCAACTACCTTGGCGCGCCAAGGGGTGTTTTAGTGACCATCACCAGCCCATCCGCTATGATAAGACAGCTAGTCAGAATTTTTCACTGGATACGTCAGACTTCTGGTAGCTGGTGATGAATTTAAGACCTGTCTTGTGATAGTTGTGCTGTCGCCAGAGCCAGGGGCCACGCGCGTAGGTACCTGATCTGGTTAAATGCTCCCCCCCTCCCACTGCAGCACGTGTTGGCAGCTTACGCAAAGAAATAGAGTTTTCTAAAGTTCTGATAAAACTTGGCACCGGACGACTAATCGGCCCTGTAGCTGGGTTCGTTCGTCTCCCTTGCGCCACACCACACGTTGCACGTCTGCGGTGGCGTTTTAGCTGCGCTTCCCAAAGGTAAAACATCTCCATATTTACTCGTTCAAAGAGAAAAGCCTTGTTTGTGGCTGGCTCTGAATTCTCATGTTGATCGCGGCTACATGGCGCGGTTGGTGTCACACGGTTACACGAGGGCTACAATCACGGGATTAGGGCACAACACTGACCGACTTCTTGTATTTACAGAGCTTTTAGCCCGTCCGGGCCTCGAGAAAACAAAGGACCCTTGATACCAAAGACTGTTATTAGCTGAATTGAGCTGTTTCTCGAAGCTCTCACTGAGCCCTTGTCACAGTTGGCCTAGTACGCAGTAAACGCCTTCCTTCCGGCAAGGTCATTTACACTATATCTATCGGCACATGTATATATCCAGCGGTTACTCTGTCTCGAGAATGCGCTTCCACTACGAGCGTATCCTTCAGGTAGCTTTCAAAATGCCCAGTTGAGGGAGCAGCCAAGCTCTGCGATGAGCCTCTCTCCGGCCTCGAATGCTCCGTCCATCTATCATTTCAAAATAAAAGAGAATATGACTATCTCCTAGAAAGAGTTCTCGTTCGTTACCTACCTAGAGAATAGCGTAGCAGGGGAATACCTGAAACTCTTCCAGCGGAAATACTGCCAAGCAGGGGAAAATCTCATCATCTCAAAGCTCACCTTTGCTGTCCCGATCTCGCGTTGAATCTAGGAGCAAGCCGATAGATGGCGCGAAAGATAATACAGCACTTTACAAGAAGGGTATATATATCTATCAGGAAGCTATTCACCCTCGAGTTTTGAGAAATACAAGTAGTGGCATAACAGAGAAGCATGTGCGGGACGTACATCAGCCATTCAATGGCTTCGATAACAAATCTGTCTAGGCACCCCGGAATAGAGTATTTGGCAAAAAGCTACTATTCACTATTGCGAGGTTTAGTATGTGGGTTTGATAGAGTATTCCCGAAGACGCTATAGCTATAATTACTGGTGCTTTACAAATGGTCTTCGGCTTGTATAAACTCCTATACGTTAGCTGTAGCAGACATCTAAGCTTAGAACAGAAGACATAACTAGCTATAAGATATAGTGCGAGCTGCGAAGCGATTTGAACAGTAATACGGGACACAACTCACTGGGCAAAATACCCCAGTCACTTGATTCCCTACAAGTCCAGTGTTGTATCGCACCCAGAGCATTGACAAGAAAACTA